GTCCCCAGCTCCTACTGCAAAATCTGGCACGGAGCAGCTACTCGGTATACAGTAAGTTCACGGGGTAAGGTAACAGATGAACTTCAGCAGGAAGAGGGCCATCTCTTCCTCTGGGACTGGAAGGAGAAAAGGATGGAAAGAGATGAAACTAATGGGTGCCCCCTGTGTCCTCGGTGCTCTGGGGAGAAAGAGGTCTGTTGGGAGAAAGGGGGCTCACAGGTAGAGAGGCTGGGGCAAAGTGGTGGAGGCTGTAAATTGTTCCAGGGGGGAACAGGAGGGTTGCTGACCCCAAACACACAGGATTGCCTATCGGGACAGTGTCAAATTCCACGCGTGGGGTGCCTGGGTGGCTCGACTGGTTAAGAGTCTGACTCTTGATTTTGGCTCAGGTCACGATCTCGTGGCATGTGTGGGTTCAAGCCCCACGCTGGGCTCTGAGGGCTCCGCACGGACATCGTGGAGCCTGCTGAGGATTCTCCCTCCCTCCCTCCCTCTCTGCCCCTCCCCTGCTCGTGCTCTCTCTCTCTCTCTCTCTCTCAAAAATAAACAAACATTAAAACAAAAATGTTTTTAAATAAATAAAACTTAGAAGGAAAGGCGAAGGAACCAGAGTAACCAAAACAAATGTTAAAAAGGACACAGCTAGACAAATCATACGACCCAATTTCAAGACTTCCCACACAACTGTAATAAGCAAGTCAAGATGGTGGGGTATGAGTGCAAGCACAGAGACAACATACAGGAGAGAAAGTCCAAAACTAGATTCAACGGACTTTTAGCAAAGGTACAAAGGCAACTGAATGGAGAAAGCAAAGGCTTTTTAACAGATGGTGTCAGAACTGAACATCTGTATACAAAAAAAAAAAAAAAAAGAACCTCAACACATGCCTCACACCTTCTACAAAAATTAATTCAGGGGCGCCTGGGTGGCTCAGTCGGTTAAGCGTCTGACTTCAGCCCAGGTCACGATCTCACGGTTCGTGAGTTCGAGCCCCGCGTCGGGCTCTGTGCCAACGGCTCGGAGCCTGGATCCTGCTTTGGATTCTGTGTCTCCCTCTCTCTCTGCCCCTCCCCTGCTCATGCGCTCTCGCTCTCTCTCTCTCTCTCAAAAATAAATAAACATTAAAAAAAAATTAATTCCAAATGGGTCACAGACTGAATTTAAAATATGAAACTTATGGAAGAAAATCTGCACGGTCCTGGGTTGTGAAAGCTACTACACTATTAAGAGAATAAAAAGACAACTCCCACACTGGGAGATGTTGCAAATCACATATCTGATAAAAGACTTGTATCCAGACTGTACAAAGAGCTCTTAAAACCCAACAACAGGGGCGCCTGGGTGGCGCAGTCGGTTAAGCGTCCGACTTCAGCCAGGTCACGATCTCGCGGTCCGTGAGTTCGAGCCCCGCGTCGGGCTCTGGGCTGATGGCTCAGAGCCTGGAGCCTGTTTCCGATTCTGTGTCTCCCTCTCTCTCTCTGCCCCTCCCCTGTTCATGCTCTGTCTCTCTCTGTCCCAAAAATAAATAAACGTTGAAAAAAAAAAACAAAAAACAAAAAAAACCCAACAACAGGGGCACCTGGGTGGCTCAGTCGGTTAAGCGTCTGACTCTTGATTTTCGGCTCAGGTCACGATCTCACGGTTTGTGAGGTCGAGCCCCACGTTGGGCTCTGCGCTGAAGGCACAGAGCCCACTTGGGATTCTCTCTCTCTCAAAATACATAAATAAACAATAAGAAAACACCGTTTAAAAATGGGCAAAAGATCTGAGCAGATCTTCTCCAGAGAAGATATACAGGTGGCAAATTAACTAATACAAATATGTTCACAACAACAACAAATCAAATAGTCTAATGAAAAATGGGCAAAGGACTTGACTAGACCTTGCTCCAGAGATAATATGCAAATGGCTCAAAATCATATGAAAAGTTCCTCAACACCGCTGTTCAATGCTAACGGAAACCATGAAGTCCAGCCTCACGCCTGTTAGGATGGTTGCCGTCAAACACAGAAAATAAAAGTAAGCGGTGTTGGTGAGGATGCGGAGGAATGGGGGCCCTGGACGTTACTGGTAGGAGTGTAAACGGGGGCGGCCGCCGTGGAAAGCCATATGGTGGTTCCTCAAAAAACCCAACACAGAATTACCATCTGATCCAAACACCTCACTTCCGGGTATCTACCTGAAGCATCGAGAGCAGGGTTGCAAAGACCTCCTCTCATTAGGGAGACGCAAATCAAAAGCACAAGATACCCCTGAGCAACTGTCCTAGATCAGAGGATGCTAAAGAGACATGGGTGGCTCAGTAGGTTAAGCCTCTGACTCATGATCTCAGCTCAGGTCTTGATCTCAGGGTCGTGAGTTCAAGCCCCGCGTTAGGCCCCGCTACTTAACATTAAAAAAAGAGAGAGAGAGAGAGAGACTAAAGAGACGTGACAGCTGAACGCAGTGTGCGATTCTGGATTGGGTCCTGGAACAGAAAGAGGACACAGTGGAACGACTGGTGCAATCCAAATGAAGTGTGTAGTTTAACGTTATTGTCCCAGCGTTAATCTCTGGGTTTTGACCACTGTGCTATGGTTTTGTATGGACTGGTCTGCTCGGGCTGCTGTAACGAAATTCCACAGACCGAGTGGTTTTAACAGGCATTTTTTTTTTTCTCACGGTTCTGGAGGCTACAAAGTCCAAGGTCCAGGTGCCACCTGATTCAGTTCCTAGGGAGAGCTCTTTTCCTGGCTAGGAGACGGCCGCCTTCTTGCTGTGTCCTCCCGTGGTAGAGAGAGAGAGAGAGAGAGAGAGAGAGAGAGAGACAGGTAGAAAGAGAGCTCTCTGGTCTCTTCTTTTAAGGGTACTAATCCCATCATGAAGGTCCCACCTCATGACCTCATCTAAACCTAATTGTTTCCCAAAGGTCTATCCCCCGAATCCCATCACGCTGTGGGGTTAGTACTTCAACAGAGGAATCCTGGAGGGGACACAGTTCAGCCCGGACCATTATACAGGATGTTAACATTAGGGGAACCGAGTGGAGAGTATACAGGAACTCTCTGAATGATCTCTGGAACTTTTCTGTACATCTCAAATTATTCAAAGATTTCTTTTTTTAATTTTTAAATTTTACGTATTTATGTATTTGTTTTTGCCATCAATAAGAAATTTACTTGTCTCAAAAAAAGTCCAAACGCTGGCACTGTCCAGAAAAATGTAACAGGTTTATTTATAATGGTTATAAAGTTGAACTGCTGAAACGTGTTCAACGCAACATTTTGACTTGCATCAATGCTTTGTGTCCCCGCGTTTGTATTAAAAATTCACACACAAATGAAAATGGAAAAACTGCCAATACCTACTTCTGTCCCCCGTTTTTCCATTTGCAATCATATACTTAGGTACCTTTGACCCCATGGGAAAAAAAAAATATCTACCAATAAGAGGAAGAAGAGAATGTTTTTATTTTTTTTTAATTTTTTTTTTCAACATTTATTTTTGGGACAGAGAGAGACAGAGCATGAATGGGGGAGGGGCAGAGAGAGAGGGAGACACAGAATCGGAAGCAGGCTCCAGGCTCTGAGCCATCAGCCCAGAGCCCGACGCGGGGCTCGAACTCATGGACCGCGAGATCGTGACCTGGCTGAAGTTGGACGCTCAACCGGCTGTGCCACCCAGGCGCCCCGAAGAGAATGTTTTTAAATTGAAGAATGAAACGTTTTCCATCAGAGCGGATTCTTAAGCACGTTCTCCATGTATGCCGCGTGCTAGCTGGGCATGATTGTTACACGTTTGGCACGGACAGCTGGCAGGCTGGTGTCTTCCAAGAGGCCCACCAGGTAGGCCTCGCTTGCCTCCCGCAAAGCACCGCCAGCCGCGCTCCAGAAGCGCGGATCTGTCTCGAGGTCCTGAGCGATCTCCCGCACCAGACGCTGGAAAGGAAGTTTGCGGATTGGAAGTTCCGCGGACTTCTGATAACCTGCAATTTCGCGGGATGCCACGGTACTGGGCCTGTGACGATGAGGTTTCTCCACCCCTGCAGTAGAGGGCGCGTTCTTGCGAGCGGCTTTTGTAGCCGGTTGCTTCCTCGGTGGCTCCGGTCGACTCGCGTGCAGCCTGCTTTGTCCAAGCAACGGTGGGGAGACCTCCTTACTTAATCCCCTTCTCCTATGGAGCTCAGCGGGCTAGAGGCGGCACTGGCATTAGCGATTCTGTGTCCCCCATCCTCTCTGAGCCTCCCTCATTCATGGCGTCTCTCTCTCTCTCTCTCTCTCTCAAAAATAAACAAACATTAAAAAAAAAAAAAAAGGCTTTTTTCTAAGGTAAAAAACCTCAAGGCCAGGCACCCTGGCTGGCTCAGTCGGTAGAGCATGGGGCCATTGATCTGCAGGTCATGAGTTCAGGCCCCATGTTGGGCCGTAGAGCTTACTTAGGAAACAAAACTAGGGGCACCTGGGTGGCCCAGTTGGTAGACATGCGACTCTTGATCTCAGGGTCGTGAGTTCAAGCCCCACGTTGGGCGCGGAGCCTACTTAAAAAAAAAAACACACACACACAAACTCAAGGTGAGAAGAGTTGAAGGTGAGGGGCCTTCAGATCCCCAACCACAGGATCAGGCTGGGCCCAAAGGAAGCGAGGTAGTGACAGAATGGCAACACCGGGAGAAAACAGGAGGATCGGGGTCCTACGAAGTTTAGAAGCCGGTTCAGTTCACCCTAAGTGATGCTTTTCGTTTTCCTGGAGGAATTCTCAAATACTAAAAGCTCAAGTGTGAGGGACTGTGCTTTGTTTGAAGTGAGTGAAAACTCGGAGCAGTCAGACAGGTGAAGGCGCGGCAGAACAAAACATCAAGTAAGACAAAAAGGGAAGTTTTTTCCTTAAGGAAAGGAGGTGGTCCCCGGTGATAAGGATCCCCACATGGTCGCGGCAAGCTAGTTTTTAAAAAGCATTTTAACTTCTCTTATGCAGTATAATTACACTTTGAAATGTCACCAATTATTACAGCTATTAAACATTTTACATTTTACTATTTTATGACAGTTGACAATGTGCAAACACACACACGCACAGAGTAAGACTCCAAAATTTCCACATGGCTCTTTATCCTAACACTAAAACCCTGTATTTGCTGCTCACATTCTACAAGAAAATAAAGGTAACAGAGAAACGACGTCAATAAGCATTTCAGAACGAGAGAATAAAACACTAAAGGGCACGTGCTTATCTAGTGCTAATGACCTCATGATTGGCAGTCTTAAAGATGAAGCAAAATGCACAATTTGAACCAGATGCTCCAACGGTTTAGGGCTAGTATCTAAGGACGAGTATTTCGGAAAATGTGTGGAAAGGTAACGACACATTTCCTACAGGGAGCCCCCCACGTAAGTGTCTTCACAACGCATTTTACTTGGTTTCTCAAAATGAAACTGCTATCTGTTGTCAACAATATATTTCTTAAAAGTCCCCCAGGAGAGGCAGTTCAGCCTAGTTCTGCAGTCAGATTTCTGGCTTTATCACTTGATGGCTATGCGATCTCGGGAAACTTACAACTCCCAGAGCCTGAGATACTCATTTGTAAAATGAGGAAGTAACCACCCTTCAAATCAAAAACCAAACAGAACAGGGCTAGTGGAAGCGAGAGGAAGTGGAGGCTGTGGTCCCAGAACAGAGCTCTGGATCTCTAGAATCTTGGCTTTCAGAGGTGGCGGGACAGGCCCGCCGGGCTGTGGTCATGGCGGTTCGTGGCTAGCGTGAAGGTAAAGGTCACCGTTTGGAGGCGAAGTCAAGGAACTGTGCGGAGGTTACAGCCGACCACCCGCATGGTGTCTAAGCACCTCTCAGGGTGAGGACAGGAAATGAGGTGGGGAGGGACGCCTCAGATGCAAAGAGCCCGCTGGGTGCAGGAGGCTAACTGGGAAGATGGAAACACGGCCCCGCACGGGGCTGTCCCCGGACCGCCACCCACCCCCCCTTCTCCCACTTCTTGCTAACTCCCGTCCACCCCTACTCCAACCTACTTCTCCTTCCAAATAAGGAAGCTGGGGAAAAAAGAGGCAGAGAAAAGTGCCCTATTATTTCCCGACAGCACCTCACACACACGTCTGGGGCGACTGAACCCACGGCAGACGACGCAACGAGGTTAAAGTGCCCTTCCTGCCCCGACAGCTCGTCATACCGGGGAACAGATAAAAACCACGTACACAACACTACGTACTGACATCACCGAAAGAGCGGGGCATTAAGTGTCTAACTATACAACACTCCTCTACGGTTAGCGAATGTGAAATACCCGATGGCCGACAGGCCCCTTTGTCTCAGTATCGTTTCTTCCTCCACGTCTCCCTCCCATACTCTTGTCAGCTGCGTGAAGGGATGGCAGTTATTAGCTGAGGCTGCTTACCGAGACCCCATTTCCATTTGGAGCCGAGCTGCCCTGCCCCCGCCCACTCTAATCTGGCTGTTCCTTTGTAAGTACAAAGTCTGAGAAGGAAGAACTCACCCAGAGCTTTAATATTTGAAGTACAGGAAGCAAGGCTGTGCTGTTTCTGGAGTCTGTGACTGGGCAAGTTTCTCTGAACATCAAGTAAAGGAAGCTCTACGTACATTCTGGCTTTTTATGGATTTTCTTCCGACAGCAGAGAGATTCAAACCAGAGCTGATACCTGCCAGTCTAAGAATAGAAGAGAGTCACTTCAACTTCAAAGAGTCTGACTTGCTATGGCTTTAAATATAATTCATGCCACTTTCTTCTGTGACACATCATAGTATCTTTTTCAAAAATCTTTTAACATTTTATTAACTTTGAAGAAGGTATAAGAACAGCTACTTTAGAAACTGGAGACTCTCAAGCACTGATGTATTCAGAGAGTTTCTACACAGCTGAAGAAGTTTATATCAAATGGACCAAAAATAGTACGGAGGACCTATATACAGAAAGATTTGGTGAAAAAAAACCCCATCTCTAGAAAGCAGGTCAGATAGACTCAAAGACCTCACTGAAGGTAGGAGAAATCAATGGAAAGCAATGGAAAGCCTTCTGCGGGGGCAAAAAGGTAGACAGCAGTCCATGCAGTCAAGAAAAAGTTCTTTTTCCTCGTGATCTCCAGTGTGGGTTGAGAGAAAGGTCCTGATCATTTGAACTGGTTATCGATCAAGGTCCCCTTCATTTTCGCTTTCTTGGCTTCCAGTTCAGCCTGGAGAGGAAGAAAAGCATACGCCCTGATACGTGATGTGAAATTCGTACTTCCCTTCCTTACTCTAACTGCCCAAACTCTATCCTGTCGTGTTCACTCAGTAGAGCAACCAGAAGGGCGGTGTCCAGCAGCTGCTTTCCAACGTTTCTGATGTTACGGTTCACACAGGAAATGATGACGTCTGCGTGGCAAAATGGGGGCAGCGTGCAAGGCTGTGGTCAAAGGTGACCAGTGCAGGGCTCCTGCAGCCCCAGGTTCCTCCAAGGGCCGAGGGAAGCAATTTATCGTGGCATACCGGTATCCTATTCCCGGCAGAACAGGAAGAAATGCTCTTCTAGAACAGTGTTACTTCACGTTGTGCTGCCCACGAACTGTTTGTTATTGGTTCGTGCAAGATACGTATAAGAATCGAGAGCAAGCATTCTGCAACTTGCGTAGCCATTTGACAGGGATAACAAAATCAAGTAATTTGATAGGAGTAACTGAGGCAAATTCATTTTTATTGCATTGGATAAGTTATAAACTTGCTCTTGACAAGCCAGAAATTTAAAAAAGAAAGCACTGTAAAAAAAAAAAAAAAAGGGGGGGGGGGCGCCTGGGTGGCTCAGTCGGTTAAGCGTCCGACTTCGGCTCAGCTCATGATATTACGGTCTGTGGGTTCGAGCCCAGCGTCGGGCTCCATGCTGACAGCTCGAGCCTGGAGCCTGCTTCGGCTTCTGTGTCTCTCTCTCTCTCTGCCCCTCCCCCGCGCATCTCTGTCGCCAAAAAAATCCTCTACGGTCATTCGAACAGACTGGTACACCCTCTGAGGAGGCACAAATGCAGTGGTGTTGGATTTTAAGGCAATAGCATAAGCACGTTACTATCAAGAAGACACAAACGCGGGCACCATCAGATATAAACGTGCGTGCTCCGTGATGAGCCCGTGGATAACACAGAAACCGGAGTGTGCTCTCAGAAGTGCCGAAGCCCCGGTCCCGGTACTGTCGCTGTAGCAACGCCGCCCGCCGTCGCATCCTGGGAGAGCATCCAGAAGCCCCGATCCGTTAACTCCTGATCTTGGACCACAGGCAGCAGAGTGAAGTATCGTTCTGGTTGGGGCCAGCTCACCAGGACTCTAACCGGGGGGCCTGGACGCTGTGGTCACCAGAGCGGGGTTCACGCTGGCAGCCCACCACGCCGGTAGCCCCTGACAGACTTGCGAAAGGATCTCCCTGAGCGTCCGAGGGTCTTCCAGACCAAGAAACCCTTGCCAGCCCGGGCCACTCACCAGCTCCTGCAGCCGCCTTTTGCTCATGCCTTTGCGCTCCAGCTGCTTTTCAATGACCTTGGCATTCTGCGCGTACGAGTCAGCGACTTCTCTCTGCGGGTGAAGCAGCGGCACCTTTAAACCAGCGGTCTTGCCCACAAGCAACAGAGCCCTTAAGTCGCCCTTAAGCAGCAGACTCCTCCGGTTCCAAAAGTACCGAAACGGACTCTGTCCCCTTTCAAAGGCTTCGGGTTTTCAGTAAATCCCGAAGAGCTCGGATCGCAGCGAAAGCGGCTGAAAATCAGATCACACCTCTCTGCAAACCTCGTTATACTCAAGTACCGTAAAGGTAAGTGCCACTACCGCTAAGGAGAGCCACACAAACCACTCAAGCCGGAATGGAAGGGACCTGAAATTGTTGAGTCTAATAGTTTTGAAACCGAAGAGGGATGAGGGGGTTGCCCCCTTGAAAGCGGCTCAAAACACAGTAGGACACCAAGCACTGAGCTAGTCCAGCTCCCTGGCTCTCACCGTGCGGATGTCCTTGAGACCCAGGGAGACAGGGACTAGCCCCGCGTTCTCTAGTCCCTTACCAGCAGAGTAAGGCCTATGACTGAAGTTTCTAATTATGCTGCTACTCGAATGGGCTGGTTCTAGAGTCCCCCTTCCTTCAGGGCCCACCCCCAGTCCATCCAGATCCCTTGAGAGCAGAAGCACTCACAGCCTCGATCTCCTCTTCCTCTTCGTCAATCGTAGACACCGTGACAGAGCTGAACTTGCCCATGTCTTTCGTCCGTTTGGTCATCATCACCTGGAGTCACAGGAGGAGGACTCGGTCTCATTCACTGCAGTTGGCTCTGTGAGCCACGTGCGCGCGCGCATGTGTCCCTGCGGGCACACATGCCTCACTGCAGGGGGTGGGGGCTGGGGCAGGGGACACGCCCCTCTTTGGGACAGGCTGGCCTATCTACAAATGCTAATGGTTTTTATTTGGATTATGTTTTTCTAACATCTGCCATCAAGGCTTTAAAAAGTATATTTAAAACTCAGCCCGATTCATTATTTCTTTACTTATTTCATTATTGATGTAAATTCAAGTTAGTTGACATACAGCATAGTATTGGTTTTAGGAATAGAATTTAGTGATTCATCACTTACATGTAACACCCAGTGCTCATCCCAACAAGTGTTCTCCTTAAAGCCCCTCACCCATTGAGCCCACCCCCCCCACCCCAACACCCCCTCCAACAACCCTCAGTTTGTTCTCTGTATTTAAGAGTCTCTTATGGTTTGCCTCCCTCTCTGTTTTTTATCTTAGTTTTCCATCCCCTCCTCTATGTTCATCTGTTTTCTGAAATTCCACATGAGTGAAATCCTATTATTTCCTTTCTCTGACTTATTCCCCGCAGCATAATACACTGTCCACACTGAAAAAGGAAGACATTTCAAAGGAAATAAATGGTCATTAAAACCATACAACTTCTCACTTTACTCAGAGGACAGCTCTAGGAAAGAAAAAAAGAACACAGAATGGATGTGTCACATGTAACATCTGCTTATACATGAAAATGGCATTCTCTTAATAAGGAATGCGTCCATAAAGGGCGATTTCTCATTATAATCTTATTGAAAAATGTAGGGCGATCTGTAGCTATATTAACCCGTCTGTCAATAGTTACCTTCTTAGGAGGCTCCTGTTTCTGGGTATAGATATTTGTTTTGCCAAAACCCTGGCCAAACTTGACCACTGCTCCATCCACGATGAAGGTCACAGGAGCGTTCTTCGGCTGGGACTGATAGAAGAGTGGCAGTCCACACCTGCAAACAGCAGAATGAATCTCTGGGGAGCTCAGAATACAAATCCCCCAAGACACGGATTCACGAAGTGTGCTCAGATCCTGGGAATAGTTTTGTCTGTGGCATAAACGAATGATCCGCTCCTTCCACTGCTTCCCGAAACTACTTCCTAAGAATCACTGAGGGATCACTTTTACAAGCCAAGAATTTGTTAAAACTGCTGCTCAGATTCCCAGGTCCCTCCCCCAGAAGATCCTGATTCAGCAAATCGGGGAGCTGAGGCCCGGGCATCTGTCATTTCCCTCAGGATCCCAAGTGATTCTTCTCATTCGACAAGTTTGGGAAATGCTGGCTCCTGCTACTGACGGCTTTCCAGTTACAACTGCTGCCGTTCTGGGGCGCCTGGCTGGCTCAGTCGGTAGAGCATGCAACTCTGCATCTCGGGGTTGAGAGTTCGAGCCCCATGTTGGGTGTAGAGATTACTTAAAAAATAAACAAAATTTTTAAAGTAATAGAAGTTTCTAAAAACATACTATATATATATATATATATATATATATATAGTTGCTGCCATTCTTCCAAGAGTCTGGGTAACTGGTCTAAGGTTTTTTTAATTTTTTTTTAACGTTTATTTATTTTTTTGAGACAGAGAGACAGAGCATGAACGGGAGAGGGACAGAGAGAGAGGGAGACACAGAATCGGAAGCAGGCTCCAGGCTCTGAGCCATCATCAGCCCAGAGCCCGACGCGGGGCTCGAACTCACGGACCGCGAGATCGTGACCTGAGCTGACACAAATAGACCACATCTTCTTTATCCCTTCATCCATCGATGGACATTTGGGCTCTTTCCATACCTTGGCTATTGTCCATAGAGCCACTATAAACATTGGGGTGCATGCGTCCCTTTGAAACAGCACACCTGTATCTCGTGGATAAATACCTAGTAGTGCAATTGCTGGATCCTAGAGTAGTTCTATTTTTAATTTTTTGAGAAACCTCCATACTGTTTTCCAGAATGGCTGCACCAGCTTGCATTCCCACCAAGAATGCAAAATAGATGCTCTGTCTCCACATCCTCGCCAACATCTGTTGTTGCCTGAGTCGTTAATGTTAGCCATTGTGACAGGGGTGAGGTGGTATCTCAGTGTGGTTTTGATTTGTATTTCCCTGATGATGAGTGATGTGGATAAGTGATGTGATGAGTTTTTTCGTATGTCGGTTGGCCATCTGGATGTCTTCTTTGGAGAAGGGTCTATTTATGTCTTTTGCCCATTTTTCACTGGATTATTTGTTTTTTGGGTGTTGAGCTGGATAAGTTCTTTATAGATTTTGGATACTAACCCTTTATCCGACATGTCGTTCGCAAATCTCTTCTCCCATTCCGTCGGTTGCCTTTTAGTTTTGCTGATTGTTTCCCTCACTGTGCAGAAGCTTTTTATCTTCACGAGGTCCCAACAGTTCACGTTTGCTTTTGTTTCCCTTGCCTCCAGAGACATGTTGAGCAAGAAGTTGCTACAGCCGAGGTCAAAGAGGGTTTTGTCTACTTTCTCAAGGATTTTGATGGCTTCCTGTCTTATATTTAGGTCTTTCATCTATTTTGAATTTATTTTTGTGTGTGGTATAAAAAAGTGGTCCAGGTTGATTCTTCGGCATGTCGCTCTCCAGTTTTCCCAGCACCACTTGCTGAAGAGACTGTCTTTATTCCGCTGGATATTCTTTCTTGCTTTGTCAAAGATTAGTTGCCCATCCGTTTGTGGGTGCATTTCTGGGTTCTCTATTCTGTTCCATTGATCTGAGTGTCTGTTTTTGTGCCAGTACCATACTGTCTTGACGATTACAGCTTTGTAATACGGCTCGAAGTCCGGGATTGTGATGCCTCCCACTTTGGTTTTCTTTTTCAAGATTGCTTTGGCTATTCGGGGTCTTTTCTGGTTCCACACAAATTTTAGGATTGTTTGTGCTAGCTCTGTGAAGAATGCTGGTGTTATTTTGATAGGGATTGGGGTCGGTCATTTCTATTAGACTTGTTTTCAGGTACATGAAGTCGACCCATGAGACACGTTAAAACGAATTTAACGAATCCAGTGTGGCTGTGAACTAAAATGCCTTCTTGGCCATTTCCCTGCCTTAATTCTCCTAGTCTTCCGAGAGCCAAGATGTAACTGTACTTACATCAGGAAGATTAAACTTACTGTAGTTTAGTAGTCTCACATCTCCATTTAAAAATTGATACTGGGGCGCCTGGGTGGCGCAGTCGGTTAAGCGTCCGACTTCAGCCAGGTCACGATCTCGCGGTCCGTGAGTTCGAGCCCCGCGTCGGGCTCTGGGCTGATGGCTCAGAGCCTGGAGCCTGTTTCCGATTCTGTGTCTCCCTCTCTCTCTGCTCCTCCCCCGTTCATGCTCTGTCTCTCTCTGTCCCAAAAATAAATAAACGTTGAAAAAAAATTTAAAAAAAAAAAAAAATTGATACTATGTTTTAAAATAGAAAAACATTTTTGTGGCCAGCTGGTCAGGGACGTGACTTTGACTAGTCTGTTTGGGGAGCATATTGGTGGCTGTGCAGTGGAAGTTCAAAGGCAATGGAGATTATAAGGATAAAGATACAACAGAGAATTGTATCCAATAATTCTTTTCCGAACACATTGCTGCCGCTACTTTCTTATGCTTGGAGAAACCCACACTGTTAAATACTCACTTGGCACACTTCTTCCGGTATTGTCGTTCAATGCCTTCAGGCCTGTGCAGAAAATGGAATTAAAAAAAAAAAAAAAAAAGATATGAACAAATCTCATAACCTACCTACCTCACTACCTCATTTCTTCAAATGGTAATAGGGCCTTTCAAAAATTTTCATTTCCTAGATTGACTGGTTAGTTAAACCTGTATTCATTTTAATCTTTTTTTTTTTTTTTGAGAGAGAGAGAGATAACACGTGCGTGCCAGAAAGTGCATAGAGGAGGGGGCAGAGGGATAGAATCTTAAGCAGGCTCCATGCCCAGTGTGGAGAAAGGGGGGGGGGGCCTCAATCTCACCACCATAAGATCATGACCTGAGCCAAGATGGAGGAGGGGGACGCCTAACCGACTGAGCCACCCAGGCGCTCCGTATTTTTTAATTTTTAAAAAATGTTTATTTATTTTTATTTTGAGAGAGAGCGAGTGCAAGAGAGAGCATGAGTGGGGGAGGGGCAGAAAGAGAGAGAGAGAGAGAGAGAGAGAGAGAGAGAGAGAGAGAGAATGCCAAGCAGGCTCCGCACTGTCAGCACGGAGCCTGACTCAGGGGGCTCGATCTTGCGAACTGTGAGATCATGACCTGCACTGAGACCAAGAGTCAGACACTTAACCGACTGAGCTGCTCAGACGCCCCTCAAGTATACATGTATTAAGTCATTTAATCCTTACGGTGGCTCTGTGAGGTAGGTCATATTATTGTTCCCATTTTATAGATGAAGGCTCCTAAGTACAAACCAATCACATGATTTGCCCAAGGTCACAGTTAGGAAGCAGAATAGGTTGAATTCAAAAACAAAAAATTAAAAACAAAAAAAAAAAAGAGTAGGTTGACTTCAGGCTCAGGCCCGTCCAGCTCAAGAGCCCACAACACTGCCTTAGGTAAGCGGCTTTTCCACCCACCCAGGTGCTTAACAGAAACCTAGGATTCATCCTTGTTTCTTCTCTTTCCTTCACTTCCCACATCTACTCCATCAGTAGATTTTGGACTCCTCCCAAAAAAGTTCTTGAACCCATCTGCTTTGCTCCACCTTCCTGCCACCGTCTTAGCCCAGGCCACCAGCGTCTCTTCCCTGGATGACTTGTCACAGCTTCCAGACTGGTCTCCTCACGCCCCCTCCCCTTGTTGGTTTCAAATTTTTAATAGGCAGTATGTATGCGTGGTACATATCGGTACAAATATAGGGGTACCCTATAGGGGTCCAAAGAAAAGTAAACATCATCCCCCCCACCCTTCACCCACCCAGTTCTCTTCCCCGGAGGCAAATACTGTTCTGGTTTCTTCTGTTCCTCTCAGAGACAGCTGACGATGCAAGCAAAGAATCCTTATTGGTATATAAAGAAAACAGATTTTTTTCCTTTTTAGACAAAGACAGCACACTTCTTTGTTCACTTAAAAATGTATCCTGGTTGGAAAATATATATTTGCGACCCTTCCCTATCAATCGACAAAGAGCTGCGTCATTCTTCCTAAGGGCTGCGTTGTATTCCTGTGTATGGATGTGCCGAAGTGTCTTTTACCTGTTGGATAAATTCCTAGAAGTGTATCCACTTTAAATTCTGATAAATACTGCCAAATTACTCTCTAGAGAAGCTGAACCAACTTACATCCCCACTACCAATGTGAGAGTTCCTGTTTCTCTACAGTCTCACCAACAAGGTATGTTATTAAAATGCAAGGCTGCTGGGGACCCTGGGTGGCTCAGTCTGTTGAGCGTCCGACTTCGGCTCGGGTCATGATCTCACAGTTCGTGAGTTCAAGCCCCGCGTCGGGCTCTGTGCTGACAGCTCAGAGCCTGGAACCTACTTTGGATTCTGTGTCTCCCTCTCTCTGTGCCCCTCCCCTGCTTGCTCTCTCAAAAATTAAAAAAAAATTTTTTTAATTTTTTAATAAAATGCACAGCTGCCAATCTGGCTCGTGCAAACCGTGATCTCAACATTTGCATTTCTTTTTTTTAAGGAGTGAAGTCAGGCATCTTTTCACATATTTAATGGGCATTTGTGTTTTCTTTTTTTGTGTGAGTGGTCACTTCACATCTTTTGGTTATTGAGACTTGCCAATGTTAACAGGCCTTGCAAATATTTTTTCCCCAGTTTGACATTTGTCTTTGACTTCCTCCTAACCCGTGTGGAAATTTTAGATTTTTGTGCAGTCAAATCGATAGTATGTGTGCATGTGTGGGGGGGGGGGGGGGCCGGGTATTTAGTTAGGCCTTCCCCATCCTAAGTTCATACCTAACATACAAACTCCAACTGCTTATTCTAGAACCTGCTTCCACTACAAATCATTCTTGAAACAGAAGCAGGAGTGGCTTCCTTCTTCTTTCCTAGAAGAAAATCAAACTCCCTACCACGGCCTACCAGCCCCAACTGAGCACCCGCTTGGGCCCCTGCCTCATCCCACAGATGCCCTCCCTCCCTCCTATTCTTGGAACAAACCAGCGCTTTCCTACCTCTGACCTTTCACATGCACACCCTTCTCTCTCTCCTTGGAATGCTCCTCTCCCTGCTTTCTGATTCTCATTTTTGGGGGTCACAGATCAAATATCACCTAGTCACAGAGACCCTCCGTGACTACCTTTTCAGAGAAGTTTTCGTGAGATACCCTGTATAAGCCCTTGGTTTCATTCACAGAACTTTCCATAATCATAATTACTTTATTTTTCTGTCAGCCCACTAGACTGTAAGGTCCATGGGCTCCGAAAGCAGCGGAGACCATGCCTATCTGACCACTCTATTCCCAGAGCTGAGCAAAGCACTGGAAACAAAGTAGGCATGCAATAAATATTGGTTGAAACTATCCTTTTAAGAATTCGGTTTTAGTGAGAAAAATTATAATCATGGAGGGAAGTTCTTAAATGGAAAAATGTATGCCTTGTAATGGGAACACAGAGGTGGGCACACCAAGTCTGTCTGAGGCAGTCATGGAAGGCTTCGTGAGGAGGTGATTTCAAACCAACACTCCTGATAGAAAGTAGTATTTCAAGCAGTGGGAATACTATGCTCAAAGCCAAAACCGTATAGCATACTCGGGGAAATAGTCTAATGTTATTAGGACTTTAAAAAACCAAGGGAGTGGGGTGCCTGGGTGGCTCGGTTGGTTGGGCGTTCGACTTCAGCTCAGGTCATGATCTCGTGGTTTGGGAGTTCGAGCCCCCATGTCGGGCTCTGTGCTGACAGCTCAGAATCAGGCCAGAGCCTGATTCAGATTCTGTATCTCCCTTTCTCTCACTGCCCCTCTGTCCCTCCCTCTCTCTCTCAAAAATAAAATTTTTTTTAAAAAAATCTTAAAGGGGCGCCTGGGTGGCGCAGTCGGTTGAGCGTCCGACTTCAACCAGGTCACGATCTCGCGGTCCGTGAGTTCGAGCCCCGCATCGGGCTCTGGGCTGATGGCTCGGAGCCTGGAGCCTGTTTCCGATTCTGTGTCTCCCTCCCTCTCTGCCCCTCCCCCGTTCATGCTCTGTCTCTCTCTGTCCCAAAAATAAATAAAAAACGTTGAAAAAAAAATTAAAAAAAAATAAAATAAAAATAAAATAAAAAAATCTTAAAAAAAAATCAAGGGAGTACTACTGATCTGACAGACATAAAATACTTGTAAGATTACATTATGAATGACTGTATGGCAACAAATTAGATAACCTAGGTGAAATGGACAAACTCCTAAAACAACAGAATACAAACTATCAAAACTCACTAGAAAAGAAACAAAATCTGAATGGACTATCACACGTAAAGACATTTAATTAGTAATCAAAAACCTGCACAAAGAAAAGCCCAGGACCAGTGGCTTCACTGGTAAATTCTACTAAAAGTTCAAAGAAGAATGAATACCAATGCTTCACAAACTTTTCAAAAGAGGAGGAGACACTTCCCAACTCATCCCATGCAGCCAGTATTACTCTGATGCCAAAACCAGGCAAAGATACAACACAACAGAGATCAATCCTGCTTGATACACAGGCAAAAATCCTCAAAGAAAAATAAATACTAGCAAACTGAATCCAGCAACATAGAAAAAAGATTATATAACATGACCAAGTGGAATTTATCCCGTGAAATCAAGATTGGTGCACCATACCAAAAAAAAAAAAAAAATTAACCAAAGCAATAATACACCACAGTAATAGAATAAAAGAGAAAACACACACGATCATCTCAATAGGCCCCAAATGGAAGCTTTTCACAAAACTCAAAACCCTTTTAATATACTAGGAATAGAAGGGAACCTCCTCCACCTGATAAAGGGCATTTGTGAAAAACCCACAATCCCTAAGCTACATATACTAATATCATGCTTAATGGTGAAAGACTGAAAGTTTTCTCCCTGAGATCAGGAACAAGCCAAGGAGACTCACTCTCAACACTTCTATTCAACACAACACAAAGTCTAGCCAGGGCAACTAGATGAAGGAAGGAAGGAAGGAAGGAAGGAAGGAAGGAAGGAAGGAAGGAAGGAAGGAAGGGGAGAGAGAGAGAGAGAGAGAGAGAGAGAAAGAAAGAAAGAAAGAAAGAAAGAAAAAGAAAGAAAGAAAGAAAGAAAGAAAGAAAGAAAGAAAAAGAAATGGCATCCAGATTGGAAGGGAAAAAGTAAAACCATCTCTATTTGCAGATGACATGATCTTACATGTAGAAACCCTTCAGAACACACATACACACAATTAAAGCTAATACATTTAGCAAGGCTGCAGGATACAAAATCATTATATGAAAATTAGTGGTAGTCCTATATACTAAAAATGAACGATAAAAAATAATGTTAAGAAAACAGTTACAATAGCATCAGAAAGAACAAAATACCTGGGAATAATTTAACAAATTAAGTGCAAGACTTGTGCACTGAAAACTATGAAACACTGCTGGAAGAAATTAAAGAACACTTAAGTACATGGAATGACATCCCGTATTTGTGGACTGAACACTTACTATTAAGATGGCAATACTCCCTAAATGAATCTACACCTTCAACACAATCCCTATCAAAACCCAAGCTGGCTTTTTCTGCAGAAAT